CGCGCCGTCCGCGCAGTCGCGGTCCCCGTCGCACACGAAGCGCCGCGAGATGCACCTGCCGTCGGCGCAGCGGAACTCCTCGGCCGCGCAGGTCCTGGGCGCTGCAGGGGGGGGTCCCGTCACCCAGAGCCCCCCACATCTACAGGGGAAGTGGGGGGGCGCTCTGGCCGGTTAGCTGAGTCAGGAGAGGCCACCCAGGCATCGGATAGAGAGTATGATCACCGCTGCCTCAGTTTCCCCACTCATGGTGAGCACTGGTTAGTCTTGTCCTGAGAACCAGTGGAGCCAGGGCTCAAGTGGTAGAGCACCAGCTGAGTGAAAAGCCTCAGAGATGGGTTCAAGCCCCAAAGACACACACAACTCAGAAGATTTCCTGTCATCCCAGCTACTCAGGAGGCTGCAGGAAAAGTCCCTGAACCTTCCATGAAGCTAAGCGGGTTTTGTAAGTTTTCAGTTATGTTCCTTACAGTATATTGTTGTGACTGCTTTAATGGAATACTGTGTGATTTCAGGGGATTCAGGGGCTGGTACCCCATGCTACACAAGCACCCCAGTGCTGCTTGCTGTACCCAATTTATAAATGAAACTTGATGCATAGGGGACACCACCGCGGGCTCCCATTTATCCTTGACCTCAGGCATGCTCCAGGGGTCCTGCGGCTCGAACCCAGTGCCTGAGCCCTGTCTCTGAGCTTTTTGGCTCAAAGCTGGTGCTCTAATCACTTGTGCCACAGCCCCACTTCTGGCCTTTTTGGTGTCTGTGGTACTGAGGAATTGAACCCACGGCTTCATGCATGCTAGGCAAGCATTCTACCACTGAGCCACCTTCCCAACCCACTTCTGGCTTTTTTTGGTGATTCACTAGAGAGAAGAGTCTCCTAGACTTTCCTGCCTGGGCTGGTTTTGAACCAGAACCAGAAGCTGAGCTCACAGATGCACATGACCCTGGGGTGTGCAAGATCCCAGGTCCCACTCACCGCAGCCCTGCTCGTCCGAGCCATTCTCGCAGTCCTTCTGGCCGTCACATCTCCAGGACTGAGGGATGCAGTGGTTGACAAGGCCTCCGCAATTGAAGTCACTGGCTTTGCAGGTGATAGATGCTGTTCAAGAAAGCAGAATTCGGGCTGGGAAGGTGGCTTAGTGGAAGAGTGCTCGCCTTGCATGCACGAAGCTCTGGGTTCGATTCCTCAGTGCCACAGACACAGAAAAAGCCAGAAGTTGGCGCTGCGGCTCAAGTAGCAGAGTGCTAGCCTTGAACCAAAGAAGCTCAGGGACAATGTCCAGGACTGACAAAGGTATGTGTGTGTGGGGGGGTCAATAGTGTGTCACTAAGGGGACTCACTGCAGGTCTCCTGGGATTCATCGGAGCCGTCGGGACACTCGGGGCGGCCATCACAAATCCACCCTCTGGAGATGCATTTCCCATCCCGGCACTGAAACTCATTCCGGCTGCATTTGTCTTGGGCTAGGAGAAAAGGGAAGGGGGAGGCTTCCTTAGGACAATGGTCAGTAGGCTACCAAATGCCCGTGTTCATGCTTGTAGTTCCAGCTATTCAGGAGGCTGAGATCTGAGGATTGAGGTTCAAAGCCAGCCTGGGCAGGAAAGTCCATGAGACTCCTATCTCCCATAAACCACTAGAAAACCGAAAGTGGCGCTGTGGCTCAAGTGGTAGAACACTCACCTTGAGCTGAAGAGCTGAGGGACAGCGCCCAGGCCCAGAGTTCAAGCCCCACAAACACAAGAAAGACAGAAAGAAAGAAAGAAAGAAAGAAAGAAAGAAAGAAAGAAAGAAAGAAAGAAAGAAGGAAGAAAGGAAGGAAGGAAGGAAGGAAGGAAGGAAAAGAAAATCCAAAATTGGAGTTCTGGATCAAGTGGTAGAACACCAGCTTTGAGTGAAAAACTCCAGAGAATACCCAGCTTTGAGTTCTAGCTGCAGTATTAGCAACACACACACAAACACACCAACAACAAACCACAGTGGACAAGGCTTCTTGTCACTACAATCGTGCACATATGCTTTCTTTTTCTTTTTTTTTTGGGGGGGACTTCTTTATTTTTTTGGTGATCTTGGGGCTTGAAGTCAAACCCTGGGCACTGTCCGAGCTTTTGTGTCCAAGAGTGGCACTCTACCACTTTGAGCCCACAGCTCCACTTCCAGCTTTTTGGTGGCTAATTGCAAATAGGAAGTCTTAAGAAGCTGGGCGCAGGTGGCTCACGCCTGTAATCCCAGCTACTCAGAAGGCTGAGATCTGAGGATTGTGGTTCAAAACCAGCCCAGGCAGGAAAGTGTGTGAGACTCCTATCTTCAATAAACTCAAAAAGCTGGAAATGGCTCTGTGGCTCTTTTTTCTTTTTTTTGGGGGGGGGTCCAGTCGTGGGGCCTGAACTCTGGGCCTGGGCGCTGTCCCTCAGCTTTTCAGCTCAAGGCTAGCGCTCTACAACTTGAGCCACAGCACCACTTCTGGCTTTTTTCTTTTTGCTTATGTGGTGCTGAGGAATCGAACCCAGAGCCTCAGGCATGCAAGCGCTCTACCACTGAGCCACCTTCCCAGCCCCGGCTCTGTGGCTCAAGTGGTAGAGTGACAGGCCTGGAGCAAAAGAAGTTCAGGCACAGAGCACAGGCCCAACACCAAAAAACAAACAAACAAAAAAAGGTTGTCCTAGCCAGGGAAGCTTTGAACTGTGATCCTCAAATCTCAGCCTCCTGAGTATCTGGGATCACAGGCTTGACTCGCTTGGTATGTCGTGTATCCTTTATAATTACATAATTATAGACTACATACCATATGTCATCAGAATGTGGTAGATACAGGTTCTGTTATTGTCACATATGTTGGGATGTACTGTATATAGTTGACGCAATTCAGATGATCATGTAACAAGGTATCACAGCGCTCAGCACTATCTATTATATGAGACATAAAGTGGCTCTGGACCAGCTCCAGGTGGCGAGGGGGCGGGACGCTCCTGACCAGTGCAGTTCTCGCGAGATGAGAGCCGCTCTGCGCCCCGCCTCCTTTTCCCTTCCCCGCATGCGCAGTCGGCCCTTCCGCTTTCCCTTCGTGGCCTCGCGTGGCCCGCGGGCGCCAGGCCCTCGCCGGAAGCTCTGGGCTTGCTTCGGCCTTCAGAACCGTGAGCTAAATGAGCTTTTTTGTAAATTTAATTTATTTACGTATTTCTATATATTATATTCGCTTATATGAAATTTGCGTCAAACACTCTTAGGCGGCGGCCCGGGAGTGATGACGTCAGCCGTGCGCGCGGGCTGACGCGCCCGGGCCGGAAGCTCGTGCGTGTGTGTGTGTGTGTGTGTGTGTGTGTGTGTGTCTGTCTGTCTGTCTGTCTGGTCTCGAGCCTTCGCGCGGCCTCCGGAGCCGTCCCGGACCGCTGGTCCCAGGCTGGTTTTCGGTGGCGGGGCGGGGCTCCATGCCGGGCTGTGAGGGCATGCCTGTAATCCAGGCTAACACCCCACAGGTTGAAGCCAGGGGATCTGGAGTTCAAGATCAGCCTGGGTTACATAAGAGGCCCCTGACTCGGGGACACTGTAAAGGACGGGTGTTTCGACCGTGTGTGAAATCTCTAATAATTCTGTGTTCCTCCGGCTAGTTCTGCAGTGGGGTTACTACCTAGCCAGAGGCAGATCGTCTCTGGAGCGTTCGGGTTCCGCCTTTCTCTCCCCCACCCCCATCACACACCGAGCACGCTGTGCGTCCGATGGGTGGAGGTCCCCTAGGGGAGGGGGGCTGTTGGTAAGACCTGCCTGGTAGGCTCATGCTAAGTGACTGCCTGGGCTGGGCACCTCATGCCTATCATCACACTCCCGCCTGTCATCCTAGCTATTCAGGAGGCTGAGATCTGAGGATCGCCCGTTCAGAGCCAGCCTGGGCAGGAAAGTCCATGAGCCTCTTATCTCCAATAAACTACACAGAAAAAGCCTGAAGCGGCCCTGAACTAACCCAGTGTGGTCATGCATGCTTCTAATCCCAGCATTTGGGAGACTGAGGCAGGAAGTTCATACATTCCAGGGCAGTGTGGACAAGCCCCAGACTATGAGGGTGATGAAGTGAGACCTTCTCTCAAACCAACCCAACAAAACACACAAGCCCCAGAACTGGTCACTTAATACATGCTAATAATAGTTTGTTGGTTGTATTTTACAAAGAAAGCAGGGCTGGGGGGGGGGGAGGGATGTCTGGCTACTGACATAGAGCAGCTGCTTAGCCTCAGAGAGGCCCTGGGTTTAATCCAGAAAAAGGGGGGGGAGGGGCACGCGCATGTGGAATGAAAGGAAACTTCGGCCCTTCCATGTTCCATGTATTGATCTGGCTCCAGGACGCGTGAGATTCAGACCCAGTTACAAGGCCCAACTGGCCCCAGTGAGTCCAGGTGACAGGCCTTGGGGTGGGAAGGAGGGAGGAATGAGTTGATCTTTGGTATCAGCAGTGGTTACAGGATACCGGAAGTTCTATTGCCCAACCCTAGATGTGGGCAATGCGTCACCCGGCGGCCTTGGACAGCAGGGCCCCACAGCCGTGCCTGTTGACTCCTGGCTCGATGGTGAGGTGCTCGAGGGTGGAAGTGACTCATACTGAGGCTGGCTGGGCTGAAGGGAAGGCCCCTGGGGTTCTTGGATTCTCAGAAATAAAAGGGGAAGCTCAAGCCCGGGGCATTGGCAATACGGATGACAGAAAGGGCTTGGTGGCACCCTCCTGTAATCCTGGCACTCAGGAAACAGAGGCAAGAGGATCTTGAGGTTAAGGCCAAGCCCGGTTATACAGGGAGGCTGTCTCGGGAGAAATAAAAAGATGCTGCCGAGGAGCCGTTCAGCATCTGATCAGATCACTGCAGCCGAGTGTCCATTCGTGCACTGCCATCACCTCTACTTGTTTAGGAAAAGGCCAGGACTGGGACTTTGTTAGTAACACCCCGAAGGACTTTCAGAGCAGAACAAAGAATAACAAAGAATAATGAAGTCCTCCAGGAACAGCAAGCTGCGGCTCCAGGCATTAGTTAGAGACCTCCTGCACTCAGAAGACCTGATGCCATTGTGAACTCAGGGCCTGAGCTGCTTTTGCTCAAGACCATCACTCAAGGGGCTGGGAAGGCAGCTCAGTGGTAGAGTGCTTGCCTCACATGCATGAGGCCTTGGGTTTGATTCCTCAGCACCACATACATAGAAAAGACTGGATGTGGTGCTGTGGTAGAGTGGTAGAGTGCTAGCTTTGAGCTGAAGAGCTGAGGGGCAGCGCCCAGGCCAAGCCCTATGACCAACAACAAAACAAAACAAAACCCAAAAGCTATCACGCTACCACTGGAGCCACAACTCCACCGCTGGCTTTTTGCTGGTTAATTGGAGATGAGTCTCATGGACTTTCCTGCCTGGGCTGGCTTTGACGCATGATGCTCAGATCGCAGGATCCAGAATAGATCGGATGACAGACCAGAGCCCCAGAGCCTGGCCAAATCACCCACTTCTTTTTTTGTTTTGTTTTTGCCTGTCCTGGGGTTTGAACTCAGGGCCTGGGCATTGTCCCTGGGCCTCTTTTGCTCTACCACCTGAGCCACAGCGCCACTTTGACTTTTTCTGTGCATGGTACAGAGGGCTTCATGCATGCTAGGCAAGCACTCCACCCCTAAGCCACCTTCCCAGCCCCTTGCAGCTTTACAGCCTGGCTGGTGGGGAAAGAGGCCTTCAGGGGTCAGAGCCCAGCCCTTCCTGAGCAGGGGAACGGATGGCATTATTCTGTTCCCAACGGCACAGCCCAAAGACCATGCGTCTTTCTTCTTTCATAACAAGATTTGAACCTCAGCAAAAACCAAACCAGAGTTTGGATCCCCACATGCCAGGGCCGCCAGCGATGTGTGCAGTGCATACCTGTAATTCCTTCGGAGGCAGGGAGAGGGGAATGGACCCACAGTAAAACCCCGTCTCAAAACGAGACGCCTCGCCGGCCCTTAGATCGCACATGGTACGAATGACAAGTCACGAGGGTTATCGAAATCGGAAAGGAGAAAACAATATTTCTGCTTTTTTTTTTCTTCCCCTCAGCACACAAATGATGTGGTCAGAGCTTTCAGCGGTTTCTGTGTCACGTTTCTGAGATGGTTGGTACAGGGAAATGAAAACCTTAGAACGGTTTCCTCGAGGACATGGATTCTTGTGGCAGGCGTAGATGCCCCAGTACACAGGAAGGAGGAATTACCTGCACGCTGGCGCACACCTGTAGTCCCAGCTGCTGAGGAGGCTGAGGCACAGACTGGCGTTAGTAAGGCCCATCCTTCAGGGAAAAAAGGGGGCAGGACCTGTACTCTGTGGTAGGATGCTTGCCCAGTGTGACCGAGGCCCTGGGTTCCAGCCCCAGCACCCCAATAATCAGTAGATGCAGGGTTCTTTCCCAAAGAGAAGGGACGTGGCTTAGAGGTAGAGCGCTTGCCTAGCATGCACAAATCCCTGGGTTCCATTCCTCAGCACCACAGAAACAGAAGTGTTGCCGTGGCTCAAGGGGTAGAGTGCTAGCCTTGAGAAAAAGAAGCCCCAGGACTGGTAAAAAAAAAACAACCACCAAAAATCACAAAGAGGAGTAGACTCTGACCCGGCCCTGAGGAAGGGCAGCCCGCCTGTCACTGTCCCGTGCCCAGGCCAGTGTTCCGGCAGCACTCCTGAAGGGAGTGGAAGGGAAAGGGCGCGTCCGCAGCCGTCCGCGCGCTAGCGGGGAGCCCGGCAGGAGCCGTGAAGGCACCGTTCCGGACGGCGCGGGCGTCAGCTCCGGAAGGCGCAGTGCAGGCGGCCCGGGGATGGCGGG